CACACACACACACACACACACACACACGTATCGCCGGTCACTTCCGCGCTCTTCCCTGTGCCCTGTTAACCCCTAACGGCTGCACACCTGCATCAGGGTGGCAGCTCTGTCACAACGCACCTCCTACGGCCCTAGACGCCTGTCCACACCTCCCTGCAGTGGACGACCGGTTCTGGGGCTGCACTCGCACAGCGTCTGGCTCTCTGTGACACTCGACCTCACCACGCCTGGGGCAGCAGCGTGAGTGCCGTGCGAACCACACCTGTTCACCCGCCGCTGCTTTGTGAGAGCTCACAGGAGGCCGCAGGGATGAACAGAGCGTTCTCTGCAGGTGATTTTAAACATATTCTATAATAACAAAGGCATAATACGCAAATCGACCGAATGACTGTCTGGACCGGACGACCACCCTATGACACACACTGGCGCCAGGCCAGCCAAGGCGGGTGTGATGCGATTGGTCGGGGGGCCCGCCATCGCCCCGATTGCCATGCAGAGGGAGGCCCAGGCCACCATTGATCGTGAAGCCCTGGCCAGGTGGGCGGGGCCTCCCTCTGCTGGGCAATCGATCTCGGAGCCCGATTGCGATCGCGGAGCCCCGTGATCGATTGCCCCAAAGAGGGAGGCCTAGGCTACCTGGCCGGCGGCAACAGAGGGAGGCCCAGGCCAGTCAAGCGATCGCACTCACGCCTGTCGCCTGCAGAGGGAGGTGACCGGTGGCAGGGGAGGAGGGGCAGCGCCGCACAGATGTCAAGCAGTGGCAGCGGCAGTGGCGGGGTGGGGCCAGCGGCCAGCAGCCGGGGAAGGAAAGCCCTTGATAGGCCCTGATCGCCGGCCAGGCCGAGGGACCCTGCCCGGATTCAACAGAGGGAGGCCCAGGCCAGTCAAGCGATCGCACTCACGCCTGTCGCCTGCAGAGGGAGGTGACCGGTGGCAGGGGAGGAGGGGCAGCGCCGCACAGATGTCAAGCAGTGGCAGCGGCAGTGGCGGGGTGGGGCCAGCGGCCAGCAGCCGGGGAAGGAAAGCCCTTGATAGGCCCTGATCGCCGGCCAGGCCGAGGGACCCTGCCCGGATTGGACTGCCAGAGGGCGCAGGCCGGGCTGAGGGACACTCCCCCTCACCCATGCGCTCACTGGGCCGTTAGTTTACAGCAGCATCAGAAAGCAGCCCCTCCCCTCCCCTCTCCAGACACACAGCCCTACAAGCTGACAAAACCTTACAGGAAACGGGAAACAATCTGACTTCAGCCGCAGGATCAGGTGGACGTCAGGGCGCTATGACTTTCTGAAGACAGAGGCAGCTTTAAGATCACCACCACACGGTGGGACGTGCTTTCTTAACTCCGAATCTGCCCGTCTGTCCCCTCTCTTAGCAACGGGGTCAGGGGACCAGGACGGCGGCAACATTCACGTTCGCTCACAGACAGAGCCCTCGATGAACCAGGCAAAGAAAAAAATTGATTTTTACTGCCTTTTTTCAATTTTCTCTCTCTCTTTACGAAGTGAGGATATTTCTGGTAGTAGTTTAAAGCTGTGGAAAGACTTTATTATATTTTATTACAGAATTAGAAAATTTCAAAAATAATTGTTTGGAACCACAGTTAAAAAGAAACATAAAACCCCCATAAGAAAGCGTTCTGGCACCTGTTAGGATTTCCCCGCGAGTTATGAAGTGCAGCTTTCCAGCGATTGTTACAATAGCCATGACTGTAATTTCAGCGGAATACTCATAATTTTTCTTCTGAACACATGATCATGACTCATTTTTTCTTTAATAGCTCAGTCATTTCAGGAACTACCTGCAAATTAAGAAAAAGAGTAATGAGGCCACTTGAGGCCACGGTGACTGGTCACCACTCCTCAGGAAGCCCTCGGAGGCCACAGAAGTGTGAAGCCCCCCTGCGCCAGGTGCCTCCCTCCCTCCTCCAGCCCCTCCTCCCGCCGCGGGGAGACCCTGACCCAGGGCTGCAGGGCCAAGAGCCCCCTCACTGCCTAGGAGCTTTCTGACGCATCACCACCCTCAGAGAGGCCCCGCACCAAACACAGCCCGGCGTCTCCTGTCTGTGCCGAGTGCCAGCTCCCGCACCCTCCCCTCCCCGCTGCCGCCGGCTTCCCCTTCACAGGCCACCCCAAGTCTCGCTCCGTCGTGCCTCTGCCAACCTCCTCAGCCTTCTCTCCTGTCTGACCATGTGCTCACCGTTCACCTCACAGGCACTGCCATGCTCCGAGGCACAGAGACGAGCCGCACGCTGACCACTGAACCATCACTATCAGCACCGAGGCCTCCTGCCACCTCAGTGCTGGCCGGCAGGACGGTGAGGGCACGGGGAGGGCACGGTGAGGAGCAGGCCCGGGCTGGGAGGGTTATTTCCTGACCCTGAGTCTTCCCAGTTCAGTGGCTGCACCGGGACCTTCGGTGCAGAGCGGCCCGGGTGGGACCTGCAGGGGGACGGCACGCAGCGGCCGGAGCGCTAGCTGAGCCACTGGTGTGAAGATCCTCACCCAGGCTGCCAGGGGACCCACATGCCCACTGCACCCCTGGCGAGTGCGCCTCTCAGTTATTTAGCAGAGCTGCTCCCATTGGGTGGAAACAATGTGTTCGTACAAAATTCATCAAGGAGACTGGCGACACGTTTCTCCTGAACGTGGCTTTGTCTGCAGCCGTGGAGCCGGCAGGGAGCCGGGGCGTTAGTTCGGGCAGCAAGTGCTGGCACCCCCTCCCCCTCTCCTTGGAGACGGGCCGCGAGCGCGTGCCAGCCACTCACAGGACGTGCAGCGTGTGCTGTGCCTGGGAGAGTAAGGTTGACCGAACCAAAAAAGACACAGACGGTGGAGAGAGAAACCCCCTCAACCCTTCTTGGGGCAGGAGGGCCTTCTGTAAGGTTTTTAACAACTATGTGTTCTAAACCAAATTCACGTTTCCTGTAGAAAAAGTTGAGCTCTAGCCTGTTTTTCATGAAAAATTTAGTCTAAAAAGGTGTTTTTTTTAACACACCCATTGAGTTATTTTCTATAAGATCTTAAGCCAAAATAGATAATGCTAATTTTCACTCACAATGTATGAGATTTTTTAAAAATGTTGTTATTCCTTTAAATATTTGATTTTTAAAAGACAGAGTATGGCCCCAGTGAATACATTCACTAAACCACCATGTCCACTCCTCGGTCAGAACTACCGTAATCACCACCGACGTGACCCTCACTCTGATCAGCGGAGGACGCAATGTGACGGGCACGTCCGAGACGTGGTCCTTTTAGGTGAGATGCCCTGGTGCTGCCCTCCCGCCTGCAGCAGCTGGTGAGCTAGGAGGGCAGTGATGAAAGGACAGACTCAGGAGCCGGCAGTAGTTGTGTTAACAACTTGCCGAGTAATTCCCCCAAATCACAACTCTCGGGGACACAGACAAATGGAGGAGAATGCGTTTCGCTTGTAGAGACAAACGGGAAGGGCCTCTGAGGGGAGGATGCCCGTGCTGACCCAGAGCAGCGGCCCCGCTCCATCCCCGCACCGCGTCCGGGCGTCACGGAGCAGCGGGGGGGACACGCACGTCAGCGTAGAGGCACTCAGCGCATGGGGGGCACACGGGCTGGCAAAGCCCAGGCAGGCGCCAACCTCTTGCTGGACGGACCACCTGGCTCTGTCCTGGGCGGCAGGCTCCCCATCAGGCCCACGCAGCTCCCTGCGTGAGGAGTTCCTACTCCCGCGAACCCACGTCTCCCCGGCTGGAGGCGACTTCCAGAGCCTCTGTTCCTGCACGAGTGACGGCTGCACAGGGTGACCTAGCAGCCTGTAGGCAGGCCCTGAGGTACCACGAGGCCAGGCCACGCCAACTGTAACCGTTCCATGTGGCCACGTGAGAGCCAGGTGCTCAACACCCCGCGTCATTCTCTCACGCGGAGGACAACACGGAGGCAGCAGCCGAGGAGGAAGAACAGGGAAAAATGAAGAGGGTGACCGTGGGAGTCGTGTTCCCTCCACACTTGTCACGTCAGGAGTGATGGCTTGAACTCAGCGCAGCTCCCAGAGCCACTTGTCGGGACAGAAGGGGGACCTGAGCGCCCCCTCCCCCCGAGAAGGGGGACCTGAGCGCCCCCTCTCCACCGGGAAGCCCTGAGCACCCCCTCTCCCCAAGAAGTGGGACCTGAGCGCCCCCTCCCCCCGAGAAGCCCTGAGCACCCCCTCCCCCGGGAAGCCCTGAGCGCCCCCTCCCCCCGAGAAGCTGGGGCAGGTTCCCAGCAGGCCGCTGTGACTGCCCTCACAGAACCTGCCGAACAGGAGTCCAGGTTCGTGAGATGCCAAGAGCCCGGTGGATTTTTAGAGATAATACAGACCCCTTAGAGGGGGAGTATCTGCTCTAGGGAAACATCGTGTGTTTATTAGGACAACTCCACCTGAAGCAGCTCAAAACTATGTTCATTTATACACACAGACAGACACACAGACGCACAAACACACTGTCTCCCTCTACCAGCTTCCCCCCTGATCAGGAGACGGCAGCCACCGCGCAGCGCCGGCCTACCTTGAACAGGTCGGCGACGATCCCATAGTCTGCCACCTGGAAGATGGGGGCCTCAGGGTCTTTGTTAATGGCCACAATTGTCTGTGAGACAGAAACGAGAAGTTTGGTCTTTGCCCAGAAAACAGGCCACGTGCACGGGCAGTTCCACCTTCCCTTCCCCACTGACAAGCGGGCAGGACTTTCACAGTCCGACAACGCACAGGGCACACGGCGGTGTCACTCCCAGGCCCGGAGGAGCCCGCAGAGCGAGGGCAGCATCTCCCAGGCCCGGAGCCCGCGGCTCAGTTAGTCCAGGGAACTACGGCCGGAGGAACAGCCACAGGAACGACAGGGGTCGGAGACGGTGAACAAGGGTCCCCTCTGAGCCTCAAAGTCACACGGACAAACCGTCCGAGCCGCAGGCTCCGATCGGGGTGGAGGCGTCTCTTCTGGGCACAGGGAGCCTGGTCCCCGGCGACTGGCGGAGGCGTGTGCAGTGAACGCTGGGTCACCATTTTCCCGGAGACCCTGGCGAAGCATCTGACAGTTTCATCATCTGAGAGCTTTGCCATCCCTCGATAGCAAAGTTACTTTTTTAAAAATATATTTTTTAATTGATTTCAGAGAGGAAGGGAGAGGGAAAGGGAGAGAACCATGGATCAGCTGCCTCCTGCACGGCCCACACCGGGGACCGAGCCCATAACCTGAGCACGTGCCCTTGACTGGAATTGAATCCGGGACCCTTCAGTCGACAGGCCGACGCTCTATCCACTGAGCCACACCAGCTAGGGCTCAAAGTTACTTTTAAAGAAATAGCACAAAACTGTGGGCAAGGAACCACAGAAATATTTAAGAAAAAAATATCTGGGCTGGTTAGTGTTTCAGACTAAAAGAATATTCCTGGGTTATCAACTATACATACTAGTAACTATGATAAAACCTTGCTTACCCCCCAGAGCTTTCTTTTTAACGTCCTTAAAAATCCGTGCTCTTCTTCCTTACAGAGTTTTAAAAGCAGACTGAACCCACCACATCAGTACGCATACTGTTCAAAAGTGCTTTCATTACACTGATTCGCTTGAGATAACAACACATCTCATACTGTTTCATCTAAATCACAATGCTCACTGAAACTGCAGCTATCAGATTTATGAAAGCCGCTATCGGATTTAAGCCAATCACTCCGAAGTCCTGTTTCAGAGCTTAACCAGGAGGACAGCCAGACGGCCGTGTCTCCCACAGCAGACAGTGATGACAGGGGCTGTGTCTTTCTCAGCTCAGCACCCAGCAGGCAGGGCGAGTCCGTGCTGAGTAAACATTTGCCGACTGCGTGGACAGACGAGGTCGTGGCTCAGGTTTGCTCCTGCGGTTGCTCCCGTTTTGCTCGGCGTGTGCTACCTGGTCTCGTCCATCTCTCACCCGTCCAGCCCCGCTGGCCTGGCGCGAGCACTTGCACCAGCGCCATCTTGGCGGGCAGTCTTTTATTTTCGAGAAGCAGGGTTCTGGGTATGTCTGAACTGGCCCAGCTAAAATATGTGTTATGGTTGCTGGCGTGGGAGAGTTTTTCCCTCTAACGCAGCAATAACGTTTTCTGCGCTGGCACTGCTGCCTCAGAACTCAGGGAAGAACTGCCATCCGGCTGTGAAATCTGACTGGTTTTGAGGCGATTCACTGAGGGTACAGAAGATGGTGCACGATCCTTTCACGGCAGAAGGCAAACCTGCTAAAAGTTTTATCACCTTTTTACCAAACTCCCATCCGAATGGAGAAAGCAGGAGTGTCAGAAGCATCTCTGACTTCATGACAGACCGGGTTCATCACTCGAACTGCACGCTGTTATGCGTGGCTCCGTGTGCCGTGTTCTGAGAGACGCTCACAGAGCCGTGGCACAGGACCTCCAGACATGTCCGAGCAACAGGTGGAAGTCAGTGTTCGCTCTGTGCGCTGGATTTTTAAAACTACTGCAGCATTAAGACTCCAACTCACACGTGTCCATCACACGTCAGCAACAACCCGAGAGGAGGGGCCTTCCTAATGTATTGGGGGGTGGGGGGGCTCTTAGGGAACCAGGGTGAAGCGGGCAGAGAATGAGCTGTTTTCACCCCATGTTTTCCATCCACAGACTCAGAGCTGAAAGGGGCCTCCACACTTGCACTGGGCAGGCCAGGAGCTGAGGCGCACACAGGACACGCCGAGGTCAGCTAGCGCTGGAGCTGGACGCGGGGTCAGGCCTTTTTCCAGGCCCAGCACTGCCCCTCCTACATCCCCAGGCCCCAGACCTACGTGAATGGCTGAACTCCACACACTGTGAGACCAATTTTATAAACAGGAAAGTTTATCCACTTAGCAGCACTGTTGTGTCATTACCTTGCTGTCTTTCATCCCAGCTAAATGCTGGATGGCTCCAGATATTCCCACAGCAATATACAGTTCCTGAAAGAAGAGAGGCCGTATCATTAATACGTATTTATGTTATATGAAAGGACATTCATTATACTGTTAATCTAAATACACTTACTAAATCTCACATGCAGGACAACCCAGGCCAATAAGTTCTACTGTAAAGACACTGTCGCACTAGCCCCCTCCTAGCACACTCGCAAAGCAGCATCGGGACGGGTCACAGTCCTGCGAGTCCTCCCGACACACACGGCCACGTTAGACTCAACAAGGCTTCAAAGCCTCGCCAGCCCTGGCTGTTTGGCTCAGTGGACAGAGCGTCAGCCTGCAGGCTGAAGGGTCCCGGGTTCGATTCTGGTCAAGGGCACATGCCCGGGTGGTGGGCTTGATCCCCAGTGGGGGATGCACGGGGAACAGCCAATCAATGATTCTCTCATCATTGATGTTTCTGTCCCTTCCTCTCGGAAATCAGTAAAAACATATATTTTTTAAAAGCCTCTCCATGTGCATCGTAACATACAATAACACTGTTGCTTCAGTCCAACAGCCAATGTCCATATAAATGGAATATAAATGCAATTTTCTTTGAACCCCCAGAAGTGCATGCTGTTCGTTGACGTTCACCATGTCCCGGAGGAAGTAACAGACTCTGGGCCAAACCAGCCCAGACAGGTGGCTCCGGGCCTCCCGCCTTCTCACCAGCAGCACAGACAGGCGGACAGGCCCACGCGGCCACAGGACCTCCTGACTGTCCTGCAGACAAGGGTTTCTGAACGAATAAAAGCGTGAGGACAACAGCCGAGCTGAGCCCGGGGTCCTGGCTGCTCCCTGAGGTCGGTGGCTCAGGCAGAACAGCGGCAGTCACTGGTGGAGGGTGTTGTCGCCGCCTTCCCTGGCTCAGGGGTGTTTCTGCGCGTCAATAAAATCATCACCACTACCAACCCCCCAGGAGGCCAGGGGGACTCTACGTGGACCAAGGTCACCCTGCCCCGAGGCTCTTTCCTCTAAACCAGACAGTGAGTGAGGAGGAGAACGTGGAGAGACCGTGAGAGGCCTGCTGAGGGGAGAACAGCACTGAAGGGCCAAAGAGTGGGGAGAGGAGGAAGGGAGCAGGCACAGAGGAAGGCGGGTCCTGGTGAGACTGGAGCCCCAGCGGCCCCAGGAGGGAGGGAACCCAGAGGGCAAGCCCAGGCCAGCCGACAGGTGCACAGCACAGCGGCCACTCAGCTCGAGAACCGGACGGCGGGAGGAGTGAAGGTCAGCCAGCAGGGCAGGGTCACTCTGCGATACGGAGATAGCACCTCACTGCAGACGAGGGCCGGCAGGAAAAGGCACAAATCCCTCCTCCTGTCAAAACTGGACAGACGGTAGCTGCAGACTCGCCCACAGAACAGGGGCTGAGACGGAGCTGCGCGTCAGGGGGGTTCCCCAGAGGCTACGAGCCAGGCTCTGGACTCTCGCTGCCCACGTGTCAACCCCAGCCCAGCCCCTGGCAGACGTGACTGTGGGCCATTCTCTAGCCTCTGGGGCCCGGCTTGCTGGTCTGAAGAACCTCAGTTATGCGAACCCTCTTCACAGGTGTCTGTGAGGCTTGTCTGTAGCTTAGAGCCCAGCTTCCCGAGACCCCCCGCGGCCACGCGAGTTAAGCTGCGGTTCCCTCAGCGCACAGGTGGCCGCGGAGCTCCGTCAGAGCTGGGCAGCGCGGACACGGAAGGACTCTGGAGGGAAGCGAGATTCCCATCAGTCACTGCACATCTTCGTTTTTATGACAGTAATTTCCCAACAGATGGCAGTAAAGTCACTTGAGAATGGGGTCCTTTCCCGATTCATTCAGATGAGCTGTGTGACCAGCAGACTTGCCGGGCAGCCAGAACCCCAGCACTGCCCTTCCCAAGCGCCCATACGAGGGGGAGCTGAGAAGCCATGCTCGCTGCGACTTTCCTGTGTCCGTATCGTCCTTGCCTTCCAGGTGGGAAAAGACAACTGCCTCACGCTCACAGGCTCACCACAAGGGCTCAATAAGAGGATAAAAACCCACGAACAGTTCGGGAAACACTCGCGTGTGACGGAGCGCGGGCCTCTTGCGCGGCCCTGGCCTGGGAAGCGCGAAGGCCGAGGCAGGGAGCCGACACCGGGTCCAGTCACCTCTGCCCGCAGGACCCCACGTGTGCAGCCGGTCCCAGCCGTCTGCTGCCACAGTCCTTCGGGCCAAGAAGCTTTCACAAGCCGGTTCCACTGGCCCAGGCTGAGGACAAGCCCACGTGGCTGAGAAGCAGGCAGACGCCTGGACTGAAACGTGAGTCCTGCGGAGCAGGCGTGTGGCCGCGGGTCTGACACGCTTGTGTCGGAGAAATCCACCCACGGCGGAGCCACGGGCAGTGTCCTCTGGCAGGCACGTGGCCTGGGTGCGTTCTTCAGGAGAGTCCTCGCTTCCCTCCAGCTCCGCCCTGGCCATGTGCCGGATGCCTGCCCGCCGGGGGCCGGGCGGAGGCGAGGGGCAAGCGGCCGTCCCCCTGCACATGCGGCCTCTGCCCACCCCGCTGATGAGTCCGGAAGACGTGCAGGGTAACGTGAGCCACATATTCAATTCTAACTGTTCTGTAGCCGCATCAACGTAAAAAGAAGCAGGTGAAACGAACTTTAATGAATTCCTGCTCAGACCACCATGTCCTGACGGGAACGTGCTGGACAGGAGCCGAGGAGGAGCCTTCGGGCCGGCCCTGCAGGTGCCTGTGGGGCCCGTGGAGGGAGGTGAGGAGACAGCGCCTGGAGCCGCGGTGCCCGTGGAGGGAGGTGAGGAGACAGCGCCTCGCCGAGGTGCCCGTGGGGCCTGTGGGG